TTCACTTTAACGCTAATTGGAGATTTTAATCTGCGCTGCTGCTCTGCTCGGGGTGCTGGGGGGAGCGCCAGCTGTGCAGTAATTCCAGCAGCACCGACTGTTTAATCAAGCTGTCCTCCTGGGGAGGGGCCCTCAGGCATGGGGTAGGAAGGAGGAGGAGAACCTATGTCATCGCCCTTAGCCTGTTCAGCTGGGAAGGGTTTCATGAAGACCGAGGGTCAACTGTGGGGTCCTCATTCCCATAGTGGTCCCGTGGCCATTGGCATCTGAAGCAGTGTCATGGCACAGGGTAAGTATGAGGTTCATGGGTCAGAGCAGAACCACTTCCTCTCCTGCTTTCTGACACTTCTTTTTGACTCAAAGCCTAGGGTGTCCTGGGGTGTAGTCTAGCCACTAGACTACCCTGAGTTCTGCAGATGTGTGCTGGAGGGCTGATGGGGTGACTCCTCCTAGTCTTCAGTCTCCGCACCAACACTTTCTTACTAACAAAGACATTTTTCTCAGAACAATTGTAAGAGATTTTTCCCCCCCTGAAAACCAAAGACATCACTGCTCTGTGAACCGGGAAGAAACTACTGTGAAGAAGGCCAACAGTGGGGTGGACGAGCCTGCTGCATCCTGTGAGAGAAAGGCACCTGGGCAAGGTGCTAGAGGTTTCCTAAGTTCAGCAGAGAGCACACTGAGCCAGGCCACTAGGGTAAGGAGTTTAGGGTCTCAGACCATTTTAAAGGAATAAAAAGTGGTACCAGCTATTCTTCTAGTTTCTTGGGTCTTGGTTCTTGGACTCTATTTCTGACCCCCGTTTTCGGGAAAGGGTGCCCTCACCCAGTCTGCTAAAGGAGCTAAAGGACCTAACTTTTAATTGGTCAGCAGTGCCCTCATGTGGCAGAAACCAAGACTGCAGCTGCCCAACGGGCATGGCTGCTTTGAGTAATCAGACTTCCTTGTTGACAGGCAGGTGGCAGAATAATCCGGTGCTCTCTGTGCCATCAATGTATCTCATGCATAACTGCATAACTACTGCTTAACTACTTGTGGTGAGCTAACTCATTTTCTTTTTTTTTTTTGAGAGTTTTTTTGTTTTGTTTTGTTTTATTATAGGGCACATGCACTCACCAGAGAGACAGAGAAACAGAAAGTGAGAAATTACCTCCCTGGGGGATGGCCATGCTGGAATCTCTTCTCTTCCATTCTCTTCTCAGGATTTTGGACATGCACACACATGTGCCTGGCATGAGTTTTAAGCACTGGGTCTGGGACTCAAAACTGTAATCGACTATGTGGAAGTCCAGCAACATAACCATTATGCCATCTGTTGATCCAGAAATATCCCATTTTAGAATACCTATTCTATTCTTTTTTTTAAATTATTTTTTAAAGAATCATTTTATTTAACTTTATTTATTATTATTTTAATATTTCCAGAGAGAGAGAGAGGGAAAGTGAAAAAGCAAGCCTCCAGGTCCAGGATTCAAACCGCAGCTGGCCATGTGGGAGTTCAGCACCCTCAACCACCACACCACCTGCCGGTCCCCCTATTCTATACTTCTATTCACCCTGTCTCACCTGTTCCACCTCTAATTTATTGCATATGTCTGCCAAAGGAGAAAGCACCGTACCCAGAGCTGACACTTGGGTCAGCTACTGAGCTGTTTAATTGCAGAAGTGACAATCCCTGCTTAGAGAGGAGGGCTATTGTTAAAATGATAAACTGGGAATGCCCCTAGCACAGCAGTTAAGGCAGCTAGATAGCAGATTGCAGTCTGACTCCCAGTTCCAGTGGCTTAAAAACTCACTGGGTGCACGTGTACATGTGTGTGCTCCAAATCCCAACATGTTGGAAAACTAGAGGAGAAAGGATTGCAGTGTGACCATGCCCCACTGGAGGGTGCTTTCTTCCTCTTTGTCTAACTCTCATGAGTGTGTATGTGCTCTGATGATTTAAAAATAAATATATTTTTTAGAGGTTTTTGCCTTAGGGTGTGCGTGCTCACCAAAAAGATAGAGACAGAGAGAGAGGGAAAGTGAGAAACCACTCCGCAGGAGGGATGGCCGTGCCACAATCCCTTCTCCTCCATTCTCTTCCCAGGACTTGGGCACACATGCACATGTGCCCAGTGTATGACTTCAGGATTTGAACCACAGTTGGCCATGTGGATGTCTAGTGCCTTAACCACTATGCCACCTGCTGGCCACCAATAATTTTTTTTAATAAAAAAATAAGTAAAGTAAAAGAGAACAGGCAGATGCCACCTCCAGTGCCCAGGAGACAGGGGGATGTAGTCCCCTTGCCAACTCTCCACAGGCCTGAGAGAGCTGACACTTGAGCTCAAGACAGGGTAATACCTATTAGTTGATTCTACTGATTGATTCTACAATACAGCTATTCACTCCCTGGGAGAATAAGTAGGAACAGAGGAACTCTCAAGAGTCTAAAATACTGGTTCTGGAGAATGGGAACCAGATAAAATACTTTTCCTTCAAAATATCCAGATACCCTTTCAGGATGCCAGGCCACTGGGAAGGATACACATCTGGGGCTTCAGACTCCCAGCCCCCAAGAGAAGGGCTGCTTGTCATTAAACCTTCCTCTCCTATTAAATACCATCTGTTTACTGGTCCCTTCACACATCCACTAAATGGGGGAAATGGCTCTGCACTTATGTAGGTCAACCAACATTTGACACCAGGAGAGGGGTTCTCTAAAAGCTAGGGCTGGGCACCAGCAGATGGCACGGTGTTTAAGGCGCTAGATTCCCACATGGCAGTTCAAGTCCTGGATCCAGTGGTTTGAAAATCGCTCTGAGTCATGTTGGATAAATTCATTTTACAAGTTGTAGTTATATACAATGATTGAATGTATAAAATAAATTAAAATAATAATATTTAAAAAAATAAAAAAGAGAAAAGCACTCTGAGCATGTGCATCTGTGACCAAAATCCCAAGAGAGGAATGGAGAGGGGATTGTGGTATGGCCATCCCCTTTCGGTGGGTGGTGGGGTGATTTCTCACTCTCTGTCTCTGGCCAGCATATGAACTCTATGACAAAAACCTGAAAAAAAAAAACAAAAACAATAACAACAAAAAAACGAAGACCAGAGATGGATGTTTTCAAGACAGAAAGCTGGGGCCAGCCAATGGCATGGTGGTTAAGGGGTGGCTGGATCCCACATGGATCAAGTCCTGGACCGGAGGCTCAAGAAACACATCAGATGTATGTGCATGCTAGCCCAAAGTCCTGAAAGAATAGAGAATTGTGGCATGGCCATCCCCTCTGGGGAGTGTTTCTCATCTTCTTCTATTTTTCCCAAGAATTATTCATTTTATTTGTTATTATTAATATTTTTAATTTGACCAGAGAGAGACAGAGAGAGAGAGAAAGGGAAAGTGAGAAAGCAAGTTGCCAGGTCTAGGACTCAAACCATGGTTGGACATGTGGGAATCCAGCACCTAAACCATTGTGCCACCTGCCAGCCCCCCTCCCTTTTTAAAGAATTATTTTATTTGGGGGATCAGCAGTTAGTGTAATGGCTATGTCATTGGACTACTGCGGTTCGAATCCCGGACCCAGTAGCTTAAACTCACACCAGGCACATGTGCATGCATGCCCAAGATCCCGAGAGGAGAATAGAAGCAAAGGGATTGTGGTGTGGCCATCACCCCTGGAGGTGATTTCTCATTTTCTATCTCTCTGTCTCTCTCTGTCTTTCTGGTGAGCGCACATGTCCTATAGCAAAAACCTCTCAAAAAAAGAAAAAAAATAAAGAATTATTTTATTTAGGACCAGTAGCTGGCGTAATGGCTATGTCATTGGACTCCATGTAGTCGACCATGGTTCAAATCCTGGACCTGGTGGCTTAAACTCACACTGGGCATGTGTGCATGTGTGCCCAAGATCCCGAGAGGAGAATGAAGGAGAAGGGATTGTGGCATGGCCATCCCCCCGGGAGGTGATCTCTCACTTTGTCTCTCTGTCTTTTAAAGAGTGCATGCACCCTATCACAAAAACCTCTAAAAAAAAAAGAAGAATTATTTATTTAACTTTACTTATCGATTTACTTATTTTAATTTGACCAGAGAGGGACAAAATGAGCGAGAGAAAGAGGGAAAGTGAGAATGCAAGCCGCCAGGGCCTCAAACCATGGTCAGTCATGTGGGAGTCCAGTGCTTAACCTCCTGCTGGCCCCTCATTTTTTTAAAAAAATAATTATTTAATTTTATTTTTTTACTCATTTATTTTAATTTTACTAGAGAGAAACAGAGAGAGAGGGAAAGTGAGAAAGTAAGCCACCAGGTGTGGGACTCAAACCATGGTCAGCCATGTGGGAGGTCCAGTGCCTCAACCACCACAGTACCTGCTAGTCCTGTGTTTCTCATTTTCTATCTTTAGCTCTCTACATTTCCGTCTTTCTCTACCAAGTGCATGTACTCTATAGCACATTTTTAAAAAGATATTAATTTTATTTGTTATTATTTATTCCTTTTTTTCTTTTTAGAGAGGTTTTTGCTATAGACTGTATGTGCTCGCCAGAAAGAGAGAGACAGAGAGACAGAAAGCAAGAAATCACCTCTCAGGGGGATGAGAATACCACAATCCCTTTTCTTCCAGTCTCCTCTTGAGATTTTGGGCATGCATGCACACATGCCCTGCTTGAGTTTTAAGCTGCCAGGTCTGGGACTCGAACCATGTGGACTATGTGGGAATTCAGTAATGCAACCATTATGCCATCTGTTGGTCCCAATTATTTATTTTTTAATTTGACCAGAAATAGAAAGTGAGAACACAAGCCATCAGGTCTGGGATTAGAACCGTAGTCAGCTATGTGGGAGTCCAGCGCCTCAATCACCATGCCACCCACTGGCCCCTCCCTACAGCAAGTTTCAAAAGACATAATTGAGTTATCAAGACCTTTTCTTCGTTGGAAATATTTAACAAGAGATATACTCCCAGAGAGAAATGTGACCCTGTTTGGGATTGACAGGGGAGCAGCACACCTACCAGCAGGTAAAAAGGTTAAGGATGAGCACTGTAGACTGGTGACCTGCAGGTCTGGATATCGGGGATGGAGAAAGCAGGCTTGCAGGCCTCTGCTTCTAGTGTCTCACAGTGTTTGGGCAGAAGGAATCTCCCACTGAGCCTGGAAAGGAGGTAGAGAATGATGAAAGGAAGTGAGAGAAGATGACACTGCCCTATCTTTACTCAGAAGAAAGGAACAGAAAACACCTTTTTGGGAAAGAAGGCAGGGGTAAAGGTCAAGTAGGGCAGCTGTGCTAGAGGAAAGGAGCCCAGAGCAACCAAGTGACTGACATCAGTATTCCACCACAGAGGAGGTTCCATGAACGCTGCTGGCTAAGAGGAAGGGACTGGAATGAGATAACCACTGGTGCTAAGAGAGGCGGTTACCCACCCTAGTTGGAAGGAAGACCTTGTTAACTACAAGACAGAACATCATTATAGGACCCAATAAAAAGCTAAGGATAGTCCTCTGGAGATCTTTGGGAATCAGACATTTCCCTGAGACCAAGGGTGGGGTAAGGGTTGGGTTACCCCTTACAAAGGCAGGCCGGCAGCCTCTGGCTGGTCTTGGGTCCCTACCTGGCTTTTGGTTCTGTGGAAGACACTGAATTTGCCAGGCTCTGTATGCGAAGTGACTGATGGACATCACCAAATTACTCAGGGGCCATCCCTGCCGTTGCTGCCACCTGTAAAGAAGAATGACAGGTTATATTAGTCATGAGACAAGGGACCAGACACCAAAGGGGTTGGTCTTTCACACAGGGAGCATGGTGTGGTAGGTAACTGTGATAGTGGTCATTACCAGATTCCCAATTCCCTTTACCCTGAATTCTCCAGGTACATTCAGACGAACCTTAAGTATGCTCCTACAGAGAGGTACAATTGTTCTAAGGTTCCTATCTCCAAGGAACTTGCTCCCAGGCTGATGAAAGCAAAATCGTGGCCCCTATACTTAGACATGTTAGGAAATTCAACGGAAATACAAGTTGTGAAACTAAGAATTATAAAGGGCAAGAAGATTACTAGTTAATATAAGGGCTAATAAAAGTGACTTGGAGAAGGCCGCCTAGGTTTTTTTTTCTTTTTAAAGAATTATTTTTATTTAATTAAAAAAATTATTTTAATTTGACCAGGAAGGGATGGAGCAAAAGTGAAAATGAGAGGGAAAGTGAGAAAACAAGCTGCCAGGTCTGGGACTTGAACCATGGTGGCCATGTGGGAGTCCAGTGGCCTTAACCACCACGCCACCTGCTGCCCCCACGGCGGCCTGGTTTATTTATTTATTTTTTAAAAGAATGATTTTTATGATTTTAGCTTTATTTATTTATTTTAATTTGACCAAAGAGGGACAAGTGAGAAAGAGAAAGTGAAAAAGCAAACTGCCAGGTCCAGTACTCTAACCGTGGTCAGCCACATGGTAGTCCAGCACCCTTAACCACCACACCACTTGCCAGCCCTAAAACCACCTAGTTTTAAATCAGATTACCAGCTTGGATTTGAGGCTTTCATGCCAGTAATGGCTTCTTTAAGAAACACTTTAACCCAGAGGACATTATGTTAAGTGAAATAAGCCAGACACAGAAAGAAAAATACATGTTCTTTCTCATATATGAAAATTGGAAAAAAAATTCATAGAAGTAGAGATGTAAAGTGAGCACTGGATGCTGGGAAGGAAGTAGGGGGCTACAAGGATGTTGATTAATGGAAACAAAATTGCAGACAGAGAAAACAATGTCTAGTGTTACAAAATACAGTGGGGAGAATGTGGCTGACAAGTTACTGTATATAATGCTACAAACGGTTGAGATGATGGGTATACTAATTATCCTGATTTAACCATTGCTGCACTGAAAAATTACACTGTAACATTGTCAGTAAAAAATATTACTTAGAGGGCTGGCAGGTGGCGTGGTGGTTAAGGACACTGGACTCTAGTCCCCGTCCTGGTGGCTTGCTTTCTCACTTTTCCTATTTATCTCTCTTTTCCTCTGTCCCTCTCTGGTTAAATTAATTAAAACAATTTTTAAAAATATTACTTAGGAGCCAATGGGTGGTGTGGTGGCTAAGGCATTGGACTCCCATATAGCTGACTAGGGTTCAAGTCCGGGACCCAGTGGCTTGAAAATCATGCTGGATGTGTGTGCGTGCATGCCCAAAATCCCAGGAGAAGAATGGAGAAGGGACTGTAGCATGGCCATCCCCCTGGGAGGGTGAGGGTGATTTTTCATTTTCTTTCTCTGTCTCTGGCAAGTACACATGCCCTATGGCAAAAATCTTAAAAAAAATAAAAAGTATTAATTTTAAAAAAGGAGGGCTCTGAGGCAAAAAAAAAAAAAATCTTGATTATGAAACAGAAATGTCTGCAGGACAGCAGATCTGCTGTAATTTGGGCAAATGGGCCTACCATACGTTCTTTAGGCAGGGATGAATTTGCTTGAGACTAACTCCACATTCCCCCTATGTATCATTTAGGATGTGATAGCCAAAATGTAGTATGTATTGGGATGTATGTCTTTGTCATCAGCAGACAATGTTCATTTTGCATATCCCCTGCCTCTTCGACCCACCCATAACTATCTTTAAGCTGCATAAGGGTGCCTTTTCCCCTTCAAAAGTCTCCTTCCAGCTTAGGGATCCTTCAGCATTCACTTCTCTGCTTATTAGTGAGCCCCAGACTCATATACTCAGAAAAAGTAAGCACTGGAAGTAACTGTAGAAACATCCAGGAGAGGGACAAAGAGAGGAAAGTAATCTTGGCACCAAAGTGAGATGACGTAGAGAATCTGCCGTGCATGTCAGCCAACTGAACACAGTTTAGGGTTTAGGCCATTGTGGAGCACCACACATTACCTCCCTTCTGCCTCACTGAAGAGCACCACCAAACAACTTAAAACTAAAAAACAAAAACAAGAGAGAGTAGAGCTCCCCCTTCCTGTCATCTCAGAGAATAATCTCATCTTGCTCTAAATTCTATAATTCCATCTCTCATTCAGAGACTACTTCCCCCACCTTAGTTTTCCAGCAGATGAGGTGTTTTCTTTCTTCCTTCCTTTTGATTTTTTCCTCTTTATTTTTTCTAAAAGAATGATTTTATTTAACTGTATTTATTTTGGGGGGACAGAATGAGAAACAGACATGTTTGGGACTCGAACCACAGTCAGCCATGTGGGAGTCCAGCCCCTTAACCATTATGTCACCTGCCATCCTCTTGATTTTTCTTTTCAATATAGCTGTATGATAATGAAAAGGAGCCTGAGTTGAGGTTTTGAGTGAGTTCCTAACACTACCTCTGAGGATCTTTTCCTAAGTTTGAGAGATGATGGCAAAGTGCTCTTTGAGCTCTGGGATAACTCAGAGCATTGTGATCTTTGGTCGCAGTTGCCACCTGCTTTCCAATGAGCCAGAGCTCTTAACTCCTTTTTTCTTTTTTTAAATAACTGCTTAATTTTATTACTATTATTTTTAATTTGATAAGAGAGAAAGAGGGGAAGAGAGAGAGGAAAAGAGAGAAAGCAATCACCAGGTTCAGGACTTGAACCACGGCTGGCCATGTGGGAGTCCAGCACCTTAACTACCACGCCACCTGCTGCCCCCCACCCCCAGCTCTCAACTCTAAATGACCATTACACTTGTACAATTTGCATGTCACAGAAAAAAAATTACTTTTATTTTTAAAGTTTGCTATAGGGTGCACGTGCTCAGCAGGGAGAGAGACAGAGAAAGAGAGAGGAGGATGTGGGAAAGCAATGCCCAGGGGGAAAGGCAACAAGGTAATCTCTTCTCCTCAATTCTCTCTGGCCTGTTTTTCAAGCTGCCGCTCTGGGACTTGAACCACATAGTCAAGCCATGTGGGATCAAGCCGCCTTAACCACCACATCACTGGCTGGCCTAAAAAATTAATACTAAAGGTATAGAACATGAAAAGTTCTCAGCTTTTCTGCTTATGATTTTTAAATCCTCCCCCCCCCCCGCCCCAACCTCTGCCCCTCCTC